TTATCATTCAACCCACACTTAACAAACACTTCTCCTGGGACTGACACCCAGGATGCAAATGACAAAGACACAATCTCTGTCTGGTTTGGGGCTCCATCTTGTACTCAGCAAAGTGTTTGCTTTCCTTTACTTCTTGGACTTGAATATTTTCTAACATTTTCATGGGCCGGAAGTATAAAGGTCTTTGAACTTGGGTGGCCCTAGAAAGCAGGCTCAGGTCTGAGTAGGGAAAGGACTCTCTGATCTTATTCTCTCCCCATCTAGGTCCTATCCTTCTTTTCATCATTTTTAAAAACTGATTTGAGGAAAACATTCAATAAGGTTAAAGTATTCTGGGCCCATTCACTGGGGGTGGCAGTGCAAGGGCCCATTAGCCCCCAGGAAGAAGTTCCTACAGGACTGGGGTTGAGGTCAAGCCTTGGGTAGAATCTGCTGTTGGGGTGGGTTCTGTCTGAATTGCCACCCTGAGGATAGTTTGACTCCCTCTGCCCAAAGGAAAGGAATACTGGAGAACAACTCTTGGTTAAACAAGAAACTGAGTCTTTTCTTTCTGTCTTTTTTTGGAGACAGAGTCTTACTCTTTCCCCCTAGTAGAGTGCTGTGGCATCATAGCTCACAGCTACCTCAAACTCCTGGGCTCAAGTGATGCTCCTGCCTCAGCCTCCTGGGTAATTTTTCTATTTTTAGTAGAGATGGGGTCTTGCTCTGCTCACGGCTGGTCTCAAACTCCTACGCTAAAGTGATCCTCCCGCCTCAGCCTCTGAGTGTTAGCATTACAGGTGCGGGCCATGTACCCAGCCATGAGACCAAGTTTTGTTTATTTTCCTCAATAAAAGTTCACACACAATAAAATGTCAAATAGACTTGAACTCTCCATCTGAAGGGCAGCAGGACTAACCACGTTTCTGAGAAAGTCAACATCAAACATGCCAAGGTGAGTGTCTCATCTGGAGTCCTCAGAGCTCTTACAAGCACAACTTTGGCTGCCAGGCTCTAACAGGCTATGAAGTATGAGAAGAGATCCCATGAACTAAGCATTCTGAAAGGCAACTAAGTCACCCACATAGGTGGGGGAGAACCTCTGCTTACCACACCCAGGTAGAAATGTCTGAGGAAAGCAGCGGAATTGGCCGCGCCAACATTTACACAAGGAGCACTTCCTGGGCAGCCAGGTGTCATGGGGCACAGCCCCGCAGCTCCTGGGAATGGACAGACAAGGCAATGCCCATGAATTTGAAATTCTCCTTCTCTCTCCTCTCCACCCAGTCCCTGCCCTGTGAATGGCTTACTCTTTGCGCACATCATACTCGCAGTTCCGTCCATAGAAAAAGCGGGGACAGGCACAAAAGGACCCCAGCATGCAGGTTCCCCCATTCAGACAGCAGGTTCTGTTTTGCTTCTTACCTAAAAGGTAAAAAGATGTGGCTAAGGGTGGAGAGATGGCAAAAGAATTCCTGTAAGCAAGGTTCATAAAACTCCAAGGACCTGATCTCCCCAATGTGTTTGCAGATGTCTAAAAGTTGTAAACCTCACAGAATAAGACTGTATTACTGAGTGTTGCTTTTGCTACCCGTGCTTTTCAGCAGAAAAATCATTTTCATACACAGGGCAATGGTGGTTCCAGGAGTCCCCCAGGGAGGCGAAGTATACAATGCCTGTCTCGCTCCTAAAACCAAAAGCAGTCCAGTTCCAAAATAAAGTGTCCACCCTCTTAGGTGAAAGAGCATTAAGAAGCAGATGAATGAAGGACCAGGATACAGATGATTCAAGGCAGGCAGGTCTTACTGTGCAGTATTTCCATGGATGGCACGAATTGGAGAGACGGAGGACGAACTGCAGGTGCCTCCTGGGACTGCATGCTGTCATTTCTGAAGACCAGATCTTTCTGAGGTGGACGTGTAAGTTCATGGCCCAACCCTTGAAGACAAAAATCAACTCAAGGAGTCTGTATTTCAGGCCACATAAAAATTGTTAGTAATCAAAAGAACAAAAAGTCTCTCACCCACAACTAATCCCAGTTCAAAAGCTTTGGAAAAGGTCATGATCAAAATCACACTAGGAAGAGGAAATCAGACATTAGTTAGCAAAACAAAGAAAATAAACCCTACAAATTAACACCCCAGTCCTCTCCGCACTTGGACAAGACCACAGACCACAAAGGAGAAACAGAGTGCCACCTTTTTTTTTTTCTTTTTCTTTTCCTCTTTTAGAGGCTAATTCAGATAACCAAGAAAAGTACTTTAAATAAAAGGCACCAATATAGGGCGGTGCCTGTGGCTAAAGGGAGTAGGGTGCCGGCCCCATATGCCTGCCAGGGGTGGTGGGTTCATACCCAGCACCGGCCAAAAACTGCAAAAAAAAAAAGAAAAAGGAAAGAAAAGTCACCAATATACAATTCTTTTCATTACATATTACTTCTCAGGCCCTGTCTTTGTACACATATAATTTTAAGTAGGTATGAATCTTTTATCTTGTACTTCACATAATATTTTACAATTTATATTTATAAATGTATTATATATTTTTATCCTATATAGTTTTCATATAAGAATTTTAAAACATAGGTGGCGCCTGTGGCTCAAGGAGTAGGGCACCGGGCCCATATGCTGGAGGTGACGGGTTCAAACCTCGCCCAGGCCAAAAATTGCAACAACAACAACAACAAAATTTTAAAACAGCTGAATGATATTCCATGTTATGGACAAATCACATTTTACAAACTATCTCATTTTAACCAGTCAAAAAGTTTTCAGGTTAAAAAAAATTTTTTTTTTTGCTATTATTCTTAAAGGTTTTTTGCAAGTATAGATTCTGTCTAAACCTTTTCAGAAGTAGGTTTTTAATTTGGTTTTGATATTGACCTTTGTTTGCCCAAAAGTAGGAAAATACTATTTCCTAGGCAAAGCCATTGATATACGCCAATGGCATAGTTGGATGTAACTGGGTGGAGTTCTGGGTCTTTCAGGAAAAACAGCAGAGACCTTCGCAACTCTTTTAAGGTTTGGGCAAGATAGAGTTAAGCAACTGGTGTAGCACATTATTTACTAAACTAGTAATCTCTAGCAGTTAAAGATTCACATTCAAAATTAGCTCGTACCTGGAAGAGAAGCGCACCATCGTCCGTAGTCCACAGCTGTTAACAATTTAGGGGGTTAAAAAAAAAAAATGTTAGCATGCCCTTAATTCAGAGTCATTTTCAAAACACCCAAAGGAAAACATTAATTCCTAAGTGAAAATGGCGACTTAGAAAGGAAAAGTATTCTAGATGAGAAGTGCACCTTCTCCAGAGAGCCTTAGGAGAAGCAGGAGCCAAGGTGTCCCGGAAAACTGGAGCTTCTTGGCCCCAAATAATGTCTTGACCTTGAGCCCGGGACCCCGCCTTACCGGAATTCTCAGGGCTTTACAACAAACCCCAGCGGTGGCGGTGAGGGCTCACGGGAGGGCGAGGAGGCGGAGGCCCACGAGCATTACAATGCCCAGACTCTGCGGGGAAGGGAGGCTGCCGGCGGTAGATCGACCGAAAACAATCAAGAGAATGGAAAAGGTGGAGTCCGGTACAACAGTGCTTAACTAGCCCGAATAACTCTAGCCCTAGTTGCAGGTTTAAAATGTCAGATTTATTCTTTTGAAAATAAGGTAAATCAATTACTCTGTCAAGTTGGTGATTCAAGGTTGGAGGAGTGGTGGAAAGTAATTACTTTAATTAGAAAACCCTAAACCCTGGGTATGGGTCTCTCAAGACATCCGATACTTTGTTACTAAGTTTTATTTCTTACAATTTGCTTCCATCTTTGTTTTTCAAAGAAAAGTGCTTTGAGCCGGGTCCTCCACCCGGGGGATACTCAGGTGCGCTGGGCGGGGCGAGGGTAAGACTAGGGAGCTTGCAACTGACAGGTTCAGGGCAGGAGGGTCCCCTCCCGGCTCCCGGCGTCGCGCAGTGAAGGGTGCTTTGCAGGCAGCTGCTGGCAGGGAGAGGGCTGGTCAGGGCGCGGACGCTGGGGATCTACAGTCAGGTTGCCAGGCCTGTTGTAGGAAAAAGTTCTAGAAGCACCGCAGTTTGGCAAGGGAGGCCATTGCAGCCTTGCCACTGATTGTGACCTGACTTTTCTCTCAGTCCCAGCGTCTACAGTGCGGCCTCTTCCATCCCCACCCCACCCCACCCCTCCACACCACACCGGGAATTAACT